TCAGTGATTCAAACTTACTAGACACTCCTCAGAAACTACACAGTTGTTGTTAAGTGCCTTCAAATCAGTTCCAACTTACAGTGACACTGTATAAGGTTTCCAAGGAGTGGCTGGTAGATTTGAACCACTAACTTTGTGATTCAAACTGACCTTGTGGTCCAGTACATTATCCTGCAATGCCACACACTAACTTCTTAATATTGGGACATGTCATCATACCTATACGACTAAAGTTTATAAAAGGAAGTTTTATATGAGTTGTGTGTTAAAATTTCTTGGCTTGTTTGTACTTGTTATTCTATTTCTACATGGAATTTTCCTAAAGTACTATTTGGAAACATTATTCTATAAATATTTTTATTAGAACCCCTTTCCTAGTCTGCTAAAAATGATAACTCAATCAGAATTACAGTATCCCTGAGAAAATTCACACGCTGGCTGAAGTGATTTATTTTCTAAAGTTAACCAAAAACCTCCCCTGAAATTTTGAGGGTTTTCCTAGACACTGAACAGTCAACTGTGTAACTCAGGAAAAGGACAAAGCTACCATAATTGGGCTGAGAAATCCTACCCAAATCCATGTCATTATAATATAACATAGCATGAATTATTCTGTATCTCTTGCATCACCTAAAATTTAAATTATAACAGGTATGTCATTAATTGTATAATCAACTCTTAATTCCTTACATTTTGATTGTTCAAAGAAAATTTTAATATTTAACTGGATTTCCTCAAATAAAGGTTTGATTCCCTCAAATGTTTTCTAAACACCATCACTACTTTATATGATCAAGGGATGCACTCACCCTAGAATCAACACTCACATAACTCTTACTTTAAGGAAATCTAGGAGTACTGGTGTGGCGCTGTGGGCTAATGCACTGGATTGCAAAGTCGTTTGAACCGCAAAGTCGGTGGTTCAAGCTCACCAGCCGCTCCAGGTCGGAACCGACTCATAACAACAACAATATCCTTATGTAGCACTGTAGGATAAGCACTGGACTGCTAACCACAAGGTCGGTGGTTCAAAGCCACCAGCCATTCATTGGAAACCCTATAAATGGTCTCTAAGTCAGAACTGACTCAACGGCACATAACAACAACAGTATGGAAAACTCTAGATTACAGCAAGGCTTATACAGTTAGAGTAATGAGATTCTAACCATTTTTTGATAGACAAAAATCCAATTTACTTACGTATTTTTAGAAACACATAGTAAATAAAGAGTCAGTTGATTAAATGCATAAGAAAAAGAACAGAAGAAGCAAGCTAGTATAAAGTTTAATATTCTAAATAAATGTTTGGTTATATAAGTACTACCTTTCAGTATTTTAAGTAAGTCACTGAGTTACCTATAAACAACAAATAAGTTATATAAAAGGAGAAATGTTAGAGAAGTAGAATAAGTACCCAACTAAAACAAAATGCTACTGAAAATCTTTTAATGCAAACTTCAGTTGACATCCACTGAACCATTCAGAACGAAATCTAAGACTTTTAGGGAACTAACTGATTCAAAATTTGATTATAAATTTCTGTAGTTCTTAGTTTTTTGCTTCCAAATAATCCAACTGTGGTTAAAACAACTTCATAATTTTAAAAAAGCTTTTAAAAGATCGTTTTATTTACTACAGACCATAAAATTCACCCATTTTAAATATGCCGTCAATGGTTTTAGTAAATTTAAAGAACTGTGCAACTATCACTACAATTGCATTAGAACATTTCCATTTTCACAGATTGTTCCCTAGTGCCTATTGTAATTAGTCTCTAATTCTAGGTAATCACTAACCATCTTTTTGTCTCTTTAAATTTGTCTTTCCTAAACATTTCATGTAAATGAAGTCAAACAAATGTAGACTTTTCTATTTCACTTCTGTCACCTAGCATTTTTCAACCTTCATCCACGTGGTAGAAAGTTTTATTAAATTTTATAGTATTTTAATAGTATTCCAATGAGCAGATACACGGCATTTTAATTATCCATTCACAATAGATGGGACTTTGGGATTATTTCCATTTTGGTGCTATAACAAATAATGTTGCTATGAACATTCTCATACATGTCTTTGTGTAGTCATATGTTTTCATTTCTTTTGTAGATTTCTAAATTTCAAAATTTTAAATTGTGGATATTAGAGAAGTTCAAAACATAAATAACATTTTTTAAAATGGACTACTTGTTCTATGTTTTAGATACAGAAATTTATCATATTCAATTCATACTCTTCTCAGTTCATGATTCCCTATTTTCACTGTCTACTGTCTCAGGCTCCAAATCTTAAAATAAAGTATAGTAACTAGGGAGAAAGGTAAATTAGTAGTAGCTTTACAGTCCTAAAATGAGGTATTTTATTACTTTTAGGGAAACAAACAGAACAGAGACTAGAGAACAAGACCTGCAGGTACAAACAGATCAATCAAAGGCAAAGAGATCAAATGTTTTGCCATACTTTCACAGTGCCATAAAGAAGAGTTTTAAAAAGAATTAATGAGGTATTCTATCAATTTCTTAATCAAAAAGGGAAGATCCCATATATACAGATAATCCTGGTTTACGCTTTTGAAAATTAACTTGTGATTATAAGTCAACATTACACTGGAGAAATAATCCTCAAGATTTGAGATCATCTTTAAACCTTAAATTTTAAAAATTCCCTTAAATCTTTTTCTTAAAACAAGCAATAGTCTAGCTTAGCTAGTAAAGAATGTCTGCCTTTAGTACCGTGCTTTTATATGATTTATCTATGTGGGATCAAATTGACAACAGCAACTCAAAAGATTAGATAGGAATCTTAGGGGCAGTAACTTTATGTTAATGCTGGGGATAGAAAGCAGAAAAAGGAAGCTGACAGTGGTTGCACAACTCAAATATAATCAATGTCACTGAATTATACATGTAGAAATTGTTATCTTTTTTATTGTGTATATTCTCAACAACAACAAAAATTAATGATTTTTTTATAAGCACTATTAGGAGGTAATGTCAACTCAAGGAAAATGTATTATTTGATGAGTTGAAAGTTATGAAGATCAATATCCCAAAGAAACACTGAATCCTCTGACTCAGTCACAGTCAAACTGGAGCTAGCAATGAAATGTAGCCAAATACCTTAGAGTCAAAGTAGTGGATATCTGCTATTCTATGGGAATTTATTGTTGTTGTTGCTGGTAAGTGCTGTCGATTCTGACCCATAAAGACCCTGTAAAGGGTTTCCAAGGAGCAGCTGGTGAGCTTGAACTGCTGTCCTTGCAGCTCATACCCACTTTGTAGTCAAACGCATTAACCCACAGCCACTCTGGATTTCTTTACAAAACTGCAAAAAAACATTTTTTCTGAAAGAGTAGTTGGTTGTTGTTGTTGTTAAGTGCCATGGAGTCAGTCGGTTCTGAGTCATAGCAACCCCTTATAGGGATTTCCAAGGAACAACTGGTGAGTTTAAACCACCAACCTATGGCTTAAACCGACGTTGTAGTCCAGTGCATTATCCCACAGTGCCACATCAGGACTGTTAGTATCATTTCAGAATTCTGCTTAGTGTTTGAGATGAACCAAATGATGGTACTTACTGTGGTATAAATATAAAGAAAATGGTATATCCAACAGTAGAGCTGAACTGCTCACTATCTGCTTTTTTTCAATATTTACTTTGTAAGAACCTGATACCAAGATCAGCAGGATAAACATCAGTGAAGCTAATTTTTGACAATTTACAGATAACAACAATAACATACTCTCAATATAAACATTCTACTTGTCTAAATTTAATAATTCTAATTCAAATTACAATACTCACTGCTTGACTGAATTTTTAAGGAAACATTTCTAATTAGGAAAACAATAATAAATGTAGTAAGAGAAGCAAAGAGATACAAAAAGAAGGTTTTTATAATTACAAAGACTTTTTAAAATAACATTTTGGGGGAAAGCATATATTAAAATAACATAGTCTTCATTCAAAAAGTTGAATATCTCAGAAAAGCCATCAAACTTTTCTTTAAAGAGCAATTTAAAAATATTTACTTTAGCAAAGTAAAAGAGTCCTATTTATAGCTACATCAACAAGGGAATGCTTTCTGAATTTATAGCAAGATGGATAGATTTCATTTAAAAGCCAGAATGATAATAGGATAACCTTGATTTACTTTCATTTATAGTATTCAACTACTTTCTGATCTCACAGTGCTAGAAACAAAAGTATGGTAGGGAGAGGAAAGGGAAGCTGTCATGCTTTCTTTCCTCTGTACCTTAGAAAGTAAAATCTCATACGAAATGCTATCTAAAAGTCAATTTTAAACTGTTCTAACTCTAGGAGGCCATTTTAGGCTAAAATTTGAATTTTTGGGAAAACACTTTCTTGGCACATAATTACTGTTTACAATTAAGCTGAAAACTTGTTCTGGTATTTTATGACATCAGGAAAATTCTTTCCTCTCCAGGCAAAATGCCAAAAACAACTAGAGGCTAAATGCCTGGGCCTTCTGCTTCTAAGAGAAATAATATCTTGTTCAGTTTAAAGTAGCTTTGCTATAGAAAGGCAAAAAACTTTTTTGTTTTTGTGAATAAAATAAACTACTCAGAATTTAGACTGCCAGTCTTAAGGTTTTAAATGGTCAAAGGCTCCGTATTGCTGGCGGGAGAAAATTTAGTAGAAAATAAAACAGGTTGCATAAGGCTTTTGACATAATTCTTAATGGGTATGGGAATTAGAGATCTCTTTAAAATTTACAACATTAACATCATAAAATCTAAGAGTAGAATATGTATAATATAAAATGTTAAAAAAAAAAAAAAAGACAAGTACATTTCATTCGTAGCTATGTACAATTCATTCATAAGATCTAGAACGAAATCTTGTTTTTATCCATTATTTGTCTTTCTACTTTTGATATTTCCAAGAATCCAATTTAATAACCTGAAAGGCTGAAAAGAGAAGAAAGAAAAAAGACAGAGAGAGATACAGAGTGGAAGAGACAGAATAAACAGAATACTTACCTTCTTCCCCAAACTGATCATATATTTCTCTCTTTTTAGGATCACTCAATACTTCATAAGCTTCTGCGACCTCTTTAAATTTTTCCTCTGCCTGTGGAGATTTGTTCTTGTCCGGATGAAATTTGAGGGCTTGTTTTCGGTAAGCCTTTTTAATATCTTCTTCTGAAGCTCCTTTTTCGATTCCCAAAATGCAATAATAGTCTTTCCCCATTTCGAATGCCTTGAAATGAACTTAGATTTCCCTTTGTAAAAGAAAACAGCGTCCCCAGTCTTAGCAATACAATTCTAAGAAAAATAAATGAAGCTGGGTATTTTAAAAGTTAAAGTAAATCAGCAATTCAGCTAGCTGTTTCACAGCAGCAAGCAGACAGCGTTTCTGTATTTAATTCCTTCCCCAACAGCTCACTTACAGATAAATATACACTACACAGGAGACTGCCTCCTTCTAGATCCTCCCATTTTCACTACGTGTCTCTGTACTTTCTAGAACAGCAAATGCTACAGGACGTCACTTCCCCAGCTGCCTCTAATCAAAGTATAGAGCTACGTTTTCTCCTCCTTCACAATTAACTATTCAATTTCCTTTTAGCTCTATCATTATTTCCTATTAAAAAGGTCAAGTTGATTAAGAGATCAGCATTTCAGCACACAGTGCCATAAATACATATTTATTTATTCCACCGTAAGTGAAAAAGCAACAAAATATTATAGCTAATCAGCATCTGTTAAAATGAGTTATTAAATTAAAATATCTTTGAGTTTATTTTATTAATTTCAAGTTATTCAATACTAAAATTTGGTTTGTTTTTGTTTGCATTAACCTTTTCAAATAATAGTCATTTTCAAAATTCCTTGGGGTCTATAAATCAGAAATGTCAGGAAGTCAATATAATAATTTTATGTAGTAAAAAGGATGTGTTGTTGTTGTTAAGTGCCATCATGTTGGTTCTGACTTATAACGCTCTGTGTAGGGTTTCTGAGGAAAGCTGGTGGGTCTGAACTGCTGACCTTGCGGATAGTAGTCCAGTGCTTATCTTACAGTGCCACAACAGTAAAAAGGATATGTACCATAAAATTTTAAGCAACATTTTAAAACAAGGATTAAAATATTTTAGTTACTAACACATAGCTTTTTGTAGTATGCAAAAGTTAATAGTTTTAACAAACCAATATTTATTTGTGAAAACTTAATACTTAACTTTAGTTACTTAAACAAAGACTCCCTACCCCTCCAACTCCTAGATTACTGTTTAAGGAAATTTTGTGCAGCAGGACTGCTAGGAGAACTTAGCAGGTTACAGACAGTACATATTTGTGTTCTTTATAAGATTTTTTTAGTATTCATTTAAAATCGAAATATTCTATTTAAACAAAAGCTCATGGCCATCAAGTGAATCTGACTCAGAGTAACCTTATACTAGAGTAGAACTGCCTCATAGAGTTTTCAAGGCTGTAAATCTTTATAGAAACAGACTGCCACATCTTTCTCCCAAGGAGTGACTGGTGGTGTTGAGCCACCAACTTATCAGTTAGCAGCTGAACACTTAACAACTGCAACACCAAGGCACCTCTAAGGAACAATAAATGATAATTTTTTTTCTTTTAAAAATGTATCTTTCCTAGCTTGGACATTGGATACTCAAATGGGGTGGGGGGGACTACAAAGGCAAGAAGTGACTGGCTTACAAGCTTTTAAGAGGGAACCTAGTGCTAGAGAGCATGGCAGAAGGCAGAATCTCCAGTAGGTACTATTCAATCTGTCTGGGCAGAGCTGATGAAAGGAGATACAGATGGGTAACTCGTGATACTGTAGTGAATAATGCTTATCAGGATGGATTATGAGGGTTGGAAATGCAAAGGTAGAAGTTTTGTAACAAGGAAGGGAGTGATTAATTCTCCAGGATAGGAGCAGAGGCCTCTGGGACCATCAACGGAGAAGAGCCAAGAGCGGGACCCTACCCAGAGAAACAGAGATGCCTGAGATAGAGACAGAGATGATGACATGGAGTGATGAAGCGACTGGGGACCTTGGACCCAGAGAGGGAAAGGGACTGTGGGCCGAAAACTGGGGGTGGAGGGGGAAGTGGGTTTCTGGGATATACCCTTTGGGTGGTTGATGATGCATGGAGGGGATTGGAATCATGGCAGTGAGATGATATAAGATGGAATGAATGTAAAACTAAAGTTCCCCCATGTAAATTATCATATAATTCACAATAAAACATTTTTTAAAATGTATTTTTCCTAATTATAAATATAGGTATCCTAGTGTGATACTGTAGGACAAGCACCGGATAGCTAACCACAAGGTTGGCAGTTCCAATCCACCAGTAGCTCATTAGAAATCCTATTACAGGTTCATTGTGAGTCGGAACCAACTTGATGGCACTTAATAACAACTACAAATATAAACATACACTCATTGTAGAACGTATTAGATAACACAGAAGGAAAATAAAAAATAAATACCTCCCTTTCATATCATTTTAGGTAATCTTTGCTGTCAGTATATTTATTTCTAGTCCTTTTTGCTACAAACATTTATGGTTATTTGAAGTAGTTCATTCAGAAATTTTTGCTATTTAAGTTTAGATCCTAGCATTTTTAATTCCTTTAACTCTTGGGTTTTTTTAAGAAAACATATTTTGGATTTTATGAGAATTTTTTCGATGTATTTAACTCATCTATCTCTTGACATGGTTTTCTCATTCTTTCTAAAATATTCCCATTTCTAAAATAACACTGAAAGCTGAGTTAATAAGAAAATATTGAAAGAATTGTTCATACCCTTCTAAACTTGCATACCATGAGTCTATAAGTTTAAAAAACCTTTATGAGAGTAAAAGTAGATGTTTAGAATGAAACATTCTAAACCTTTATGAGAGTAAAAAGTACATGTTTAGAATGAAAAGAGGATAATCACGTTAATCTTTAAAGATACAAAACACTTACTCCATATACTAAACAGTTTTACATTAAAAATCCAGAATTCCTTCTGACTGCTTAACCTTGTGCATTGACATACATGATTTCTTATTTCTAAAAACTCTAATTTAAAAAAATACCTTAATATTAAAAATTCATAATATCTATCTAGGCTACTTAAAGGTTACAGAGATTTGCCACATATTTAACAAATGCTTTAGTTTTACCAAGGGATATTCAATGTCAAAAACAACAACAAAAACTTTCAAATTCAAAATGACTTAGACAAAAACCATTTTAATGTTTGAAGTCACTTTAAGAGTCTTGCTTTTTAAAAAGGGCATTGCCAACTTCAGGTCTAGTGAAAGAATCATCATCTAGAGTGCAAAGTATAATAAAAATCATCTATTACATAATTAATTTCCAAGGGAATTTCCTTAAATATTCATTACCAAAGGTACCTTAATATTAGTATAAAAACCTCAAATTGTTTTGGTAGGTAATGTTGGAAAGGAAAAAAAATCTTATCTGATTCAGTCATTTTTAGAGAAATATTAGGACATGATATATTAAATGGCTAAAAACCAAACTCACATAGATTAAACAACCAACAAACAATAAAACACAGAACTCAAAGGCTAAGCCTTTCATATTTGTGAGAAATACATTCTATATTAACTGGTAGAAACAAACCTAAAGAGGAGTATAATAAGAATTTTCATATTTCTTCAACTAATACATACAACAGAATCATAGTAATAAAATTGAAAAGTAGTAAATCTTTTCAACTTGGAAATTTGAAGTGAATAAGAAAACAAGTATAATTTTGATTCAAGACTATTAAGTAATAAAATTGTAGAATATCAAATTTTTATGGAATCCAGATTTTCTGGACCTAAAAGGCTAAATGAACCCCTGAAACTACTGACCTGAGTTAATCTTTAAACAATCCAAAAATATCCCTAGTTGCTGTTGTTGTTAAGTGTCATTGTTAAGTGTAACTGTCTGGCTCATAAGTCACCCTGTATAGGGTCTCCAAAGAGCAGCTGGTGGGTTTGAACTGCCAACCTTGTGGTAAGCAGTCTAGTGCTTATCCTACAGCACCACACCAATACCCCTGGAGTCTCTCTGAAGCCAAACAATAGCTTTAGGTTAACTTATAATTTTTGTCTTGAGTATTATGCTCATTTAAGACCTACCTAATGTGGAGTCCTGGTGTAGCTCTGTGGGATAGTGCACTGGGCTGCAAGGTCGGCTTGAACCGCAAGGTCGGCGGTTCAAGTTCACCAGCAGCTCCTCAGAAACCCTATGCAGGTTCACTATGAGTCATAAGTGATGCGACCACGCCACTTAACAATTAAAAAAATATGGGATCAAACTGACAACAGCAACTCAAAAGAAAAAAACCTTAGGGGGCTGTGACTTTACATCAATGGCAGAGGAACAACTCAGAAAAGGAGGTTGAGAATGGTTGCTCAACTCAAAGAATGTTATAAATATCGCTGAATTGTATATGTAGAAACTGTTGGATTGGTGTACGTTTTGTTGTATATATTCTCAACAACATAAAGATAACAAAATTATTTTTTTTTATTTCATCAGGCTAGGTTTTAGTAAAAAGAGCAACTTCTTGCACATTTGCTATTTTACAAAATAGTAATAACTATAACTATATCATTGTACTTTAAACCTTACAAGGTTTTATAAATAATTCTTTAAAATATAGTTATTAAAAGTCACTAAAAGTAATTTTTTAAAAGCCCTGTAAATATCCTTCCTGGAATTTTATCCATAGAAAGTAATTCAATGAAAATAGTAATATACAAGTAGTTCTCCAACTTAAGACAGGGTTCCATTCTTAAAACTTCATCATAACTTGGTTCAAACTTAGTTGACTATTAGTTCTCATTATTATTGCCTTTTGTTTTTAAAAATTTATGATACTTACAAATATCCTTATAAATCTAATCTTTATTAGTCTCTGGAGGTTGAAAATTACATATAATCTTACAGATTCATTTTAAAATTGTATGTAGTACATATTAATAATAATAAGATGCACACACAAAAAAGTAGATGATCAAAAAGGTGCTTCGTCATAACCTGAATATGTTGTAACTTGTATATACAAATTATTCATTGCAATTAGATGCAGTATGATAACGAATCACTTAGGATTATTACAGGCATGACGCTATAGGATAAACACTGGATTGCTAACCACAAGGTTGGTGGTTTAAACGCAGTAGCTGCTTCTCAGAAACCCTATACAGGGTTGCTACGAATCAGAACTGATCCCATGGCACTTGACAACAACAAACAGTATTTTAGAGACATTTTTACTATTACATCTTTTTCACATTGAGCTCTCTCTCTACTGCTTATGAATTAACCCTTTCATGACTCAATTTTTTGTTGATACCATGTGTTTTCATTAGTGGAAGATAGGCTGGATCAAGGAGTATATATC